CAGGGAGGAGGTGAGGTGCTTTGGGGGCTTCTGAGGGTCACTGCAGGATGGTGAGACAAGCAGATGCTTAGTTTGACCTGTTCTACAGACAGGCCGAAAGAGGTTATCTCGGACAATCACTTATCATGGCCAAGGCCCCTATTTCAAATTCTTCTAATCTAGGCAGTTAAGGAGGGACAGAAGTTTCTTTTGAACCTGAGACTAACTTGCCTTTAGCTCCAAAAATCTGCTCACCACTGAGGCACACCTTGGGGCGACTGGCTCTAAACCCCCACGGTGTGATGTCTAATAAGACTTAATCACTATTTTATTTTATCTTTCTTTAAATATATATTTTATTGATTTTTTTACAGAGAGGAAGGGAGAGGGAGAGAGAGTTAGAAATTATAATGAGAGAGAAACATCAATCAGCTGCCTCCTGCACACCCCCTCTGGGGATGTGCCCACAACCAAGGTACATGCCCTTGCCTGGAATCGAACTCGGGACCCTTGAGTCCAGGCCGATGCTCTATCCACTGAGCCAAACCAGCCAAGGCTCACTGGGACCTATGTGCCAAAGTGCCTGGCCAATAAGAATCCCGAAAATATTTGAGTGACTATCACAGCCGCTTCATTTTTTCCTCTTTTCTCTTTCTTCTGTTGTGTGTGTGCCTATGGGGAGGAATTAGTGACCCGAGGAGGAGGAGGGGCAGAGGGCCTTCTGCCTGAGTCAGAAGATGGAAGGGTGTTGTGCTGGTTTGGAGAACCAACTCCGTCATGGAAGCACCTCCCCGTGGGCCAGCATGCATCCAGGCTGCCTTCTCTGGGTTGGAGTTGGGTGGTTCCTTTCATGAAATCTGAAGAGAGTACAACTCTGGAAATTCAATTTGTAAACCATTGCTCTTGGCCATCTTAACTCCAACTTGTTGGGAGACAGAATTGAATCTGAGATAACAATCTCTTTGAAGAGCGTGTTCCATAACTGAAGGAAGGTATTCAGGGGAAGTCCAATTCCTATTTGAATACTTGCAGCCTTTTTCAACAACTGCCCTTTCATAAAGAATCATTTTTCTATTCATTACAGATTTACTTACTGGCTTGAACAACCCAAGCAATGGTGAGCTTTTCTAACAAGGAAAAAGAGGCAGTACATCCTGCATACTTTTCAAAGGTGTGTCTCTGTTAGGAAAAACTAACCAGGGTGTGGTAGAGGCCACAGTGGGAAGTAACAAGCTTATCCAAACAACAGCAGCAGGGGACACCTCGTGCACAATGGAAAACTCACCAACTGGTGCAGGCTTACTGGGATATTTAGATTGGAGCCAGGAACAAACAAAAAATAGTCTTATTGAACATTTTAAAGTCATTTTTAAAGTCTTTCTTTTTAATTCCATTTAACAGTGATAACATTTCTTTACATAATCTGTAGGGCATTACAATACAAAGCAAAATACGGGTTAATTGAAGGAATTTCAAATAATACATAATAGCTTGAATCTGTGTGAAAACCCTTTTTGTAGAGTGAATATCAATAAACAACACAGTTCACCCACCTGGGTATGAAAACTTAATGGGATCTGCCTCATATTTACCTTTCCCGTGTCCAGACACAAAGGATCACATATGATTTAACTGTGGTTACAAATAAAATACCTGGTTCTTTATCTCTTTGTTTATTCAAAATTATTTTTCTCAAAACCTAATTGCAGTGGTACATAAGGCAAAAGTCTACAGCATAATATTCACTCCCTAATACCCCAGCAAAGAATTTTTTTTAAAAGAAAATATCTGACAATGTTTTGGAGGAAAAAGTGTGACATTTTTTGAGTAGCAATGGAATGTTGTTTTAGTGGGTGGAAACAGTAACAACACACACTCAGAAACACTTTCTCGTATTTAATGGAAAATACTTTTCAAACATATTGCAGTTTAACTATAGAAAAAAGTCAATGTACAGAAAAGTGAAATGTATTTCTCCTTTTCAGAATCATAAAAGTTAAAAACTTAAGACTTTATTTATTTACATGGATGATGGAATAAAAACTCTAATGTAAAGCAATATTTTTAACAGTGATTATGTTAAGGAGGTCTGATAATCTGTGCTTTTCTTTGTTTTTACTAACATTATGATATAGATACAGAAAGAAGATAGATAGATAGATAGATAGATAAATAGATAGATACATAGATAGATAGATACATAGATACATAGATACATAAACAGAAGGACAGATAGATGAGTAGGTAGACAGACATGAAAAATAACTAGTTTATATCAATGATTTTCCATACATATATTTTAAGTGTGGGAGTACATTTTTTTTAAGCAGAATTACTTATTTCACTTAAAAAGCTGCATTGTATCATCAGCTGTATTGCATTGTTTAGAATCATAAGTAGACAATACTGTAATTATAAATATCTACTTATGTCCACCTATAAAACAACTCAGAACTTCAATGCAAAAATGCACACTGACTGAAAAATAAAAGCACATACCATTTCTTTTTGCAATACCCACCTTCCCATAATGTCATATAGTAAGACTTCTGCAGAAGAGTCTTATCTGGCCAAAAAAATCATTCCTATAATTTCTATCATAATCAATGTTCCAATATTCTGATGAGAGAACACAGAAATTAGAGTGGTTGGTGATTCCAAGTTTAACTGATCATCAGGTTATATTAGGAGCTGATAAACAATGAACATTTGTAGGATAAGTATGCCGCAAATATTGTATGCATACTTATGTACAAATTTATTTGCTGTTTTCCTGAAATTCAAATTCAGTGGGCCTCCTATATTTTCTCTGACAACCCCAATTGTATGGCTAGCAGTAAAACCAGCTTTACATACAAGCAATCCCTACTTTTTCCTTTAGTGCATTTATGAAAATCTCATCAGAGAACTGTAAAATGAGGATGATTTTAATCCTATTAAACATAAGTTTCTACTTAGCCAGGGATCACCATTTGCTTTATCAGATACCACTGTACATTGGTCAATTAAAATGCAAATGGAGGCTATTTTTCCTGATGAACAGACTTCAGAGATGGATAAAACTCATGAATAACTGATTAATAGTGGAAAATGGTATGTGGGTTATAATGGCACTGTTAGATAAGTCAATCTGGAATTGAAGCAGGAAAGGGAATACATGGCTGAATAATTATAAGATGCTCTGTGGACAATACCACAGCAAGACATCCCTTAGGGGAATGTGGTACACAGGGCAATTTCTAGGAAGTATTGGGGAACACATAATCTTATTATAGGCTTCCTTCTCTTCCTAACCATCAATTGTTGTCCAGCTGGAATCTAGTTAAATAAATTTCAAAGGCTCCCTTGAGGGAAAAGAAAGGCCACAAAAAGATGGAGGGTTTGTTTCTTCTTTTGCTTTAGAAGGGGGGGGCGGGGAGTGAAGAGGGAGTGTATGTTCCAATCAGTTTTGCAATAACCACTAGGGAGAGGGGGTGGGGGAAAATGGAATCAACCTGTTTATTTCCTCCTGTGCTTCTCTAACAATGGGCCCCTCTGAGACAAAGGACTGATGCCATCGGTGGTCAAGAAACTGTAGCTACCATTTACAACAGATGCCAGCACTCTAGGAGGTATAGACTTTAGAGAGCAAGTAATAAGTCATTTGTCACTTAAAAATAAGAGATATAGCTTGACTATCAGCAGTGTACAGAAGAATCATCCCCAAGACCTTTCCATTTGTCAGGACAGTTCATGAAATGCTCTTTTCTCATGGGTTTCGAAGTATCTCCCGTCTCCCCTTCACTCCAACACCCTGGCCTCAGACAGAGTCACAACCAACAGTACTTAACTGCTTGCTCCCTGAGTCTCGGCCGAATCCAGACACTGCCCACACCTTCCTTCTAATTCACCACCGACAGTACTGAGAACCTAGTACTCACTCCCATTTTTTCACTGTTCTCCGTAACACTTCATTTTGCTCTGGCCTGTGTCTCTATGAGACAAAGGTCAAGTGAAGTAAATGAAAGCTTGGATCTGAGTAAAAATTAGAATCTAACCATTTTGATATATTGGTCATCAGCTTTCAAGTTTGGGAGACCTTATATTTCAATGTTCTTAGATTCATGTAATTGAAATCTACTTTCTTCCCATCGTTAGAGAAAAGGTAAAAGATTAACGATTTGAAGAGAAGCCAAAGTAAAGAAAAAACAAAACCCGACAAGTAGGTAAGAGCGGTAATGAAATCGTGGGTGACCATGGTGTGATTATAGTTTGTCACACGAGGTGCTAAAGCTAAGTAAGAGTAAAATCAGATTTACATGGTATAAGCCACATAACTGCTATTTTTCCCAAATGACATTGTCTTTTTTTGCTAGTTCAAAAAGATTCCATCTTATTAAAAACTTGAATTTTTTTTTTTTTTTTTTTTTTTTTTTTTTTTTTTTTTTTTTTTTACTTAAGATAAACTTATAGCTGAAACTGGTTTGGCTCAGTGGATAGAGCGTCGGGCTGTGGACTGAAGGGTCCCAGGTTCGATTCCGGTCAAGAGCATGTACCTTGCTTGTGGGCACATCCCCAGTGGGGAGTGTGCAGGCGGCAGCTGATCAATGCTTCTCTCTCATTGATGTTTCTAACTCTCTGTCCCTCTCACTTCCTCTCTGTAAAAAATCAATAAAATATATAGTATTCTAAAAAAAGATAAACTTATAGACAGTAGTTTCTTGACATAATCTCCTTTGAGGGGGAGGCGATGAGGAGCAAAGCAATTGGAGGCAAGACTAATGTATTACCGCCTAAGAGAAGACCAGCAAGCAAAGACTTATCAATTCTGCTCTTAGAACTAATATTTTGAGCAAACCTATTCATAGATTTTGTGTTTGCTTTACTTAAACAAATTGTTTCTAACAGTATCTGCTCATTTTCCACAACTTTGTATAGTTCCTCAGAATACCCTTCTCCGCTTTTTTTTTCTTGGGACGGTAGAGGCTGTGTAGCGTCGCCGTTACTTTGAGGAGCGAACAGTCGGTAGAGGGGTACAAAATATGCAGAGCAATAAAACCTTTAACTTGGAGAAGCAAAACCATGCTCCAAGAAAGCATCATCAGCATCACCACCAGCAGCACCACCAGCAACAGCAGCAGCCACCGCCGTCAGCAGTACCTGCAAATGGCCAACAAGCCAGCAGCCAAAATGAAGGCTTGACTATTGACCTGAAGAATTTTAGGAAACCAGGAGAGAAGACCTTTACCCAACGTAGCCGGCTCTTTGTGGGCAATCTTCCTCCTGACATCACTGAGGAGGAAATGAGGAAATTATTTGAGAAATATGGAAAGGCAGGCGAAGTCTTCATTCATGAGGATAAGGGCTTTGGCTTTATCCGCTTGGAAACACGAACCCTAGCAGAGATTGCTAAAGTCGAGCGGGACAACATGCCGCTCCGTGGAAAGCAGCTGCGTGTGCGCTTTGCCTGCCATAGTGCATCTCTTACAGTCTGAAACCTTCCTCAGTATGTGTCCAATGAACTGCTGGAGGAAGCTTTTTCTGTGTTCGGCCAGGTGGAGAGGGCCGTAGTCATTGTGGATGACCGAGGAAGGCCCTCAGGAAAAGGCATTGTTGAATTCTCAGGGAAGCCAGCTGCTCGGAAAGCTCTGGACAGATGCAGTGAAGGTTCCTTCCTGCTAACCACATTTCCTCGACCTGTGACTGTGGAGCCCATGGACCAGTTAGATGATGAAGAAGGACTTCCAGAGAAGCTGGTTATAAAAAACCAGCAATTTCATAAGGAGAGGGAGCAGCCACCTAGATTTGCACAGCCTGGCTCCTTTGAGTATGAATATGCCATGCGCTGGAAGGCACTCATTGAGATGGAGAAACAGCAGCAGGACCAAGTGGACCGCAACATCAAGGAAGCTCGTGAGAAGCTGGAGATGGAGATGGAGGCTGCTCGCCATGAGCACCAGGTCATGCTAATGAGGCAGGATTTGATGAGGCGTCAAGAAGAACTTAGGAGGATGGAAGAGCTGCACAACCAAGAAGTGCAAAAACGAAAGCAACTGGAGCTCAGGCAGGAGGAAGAGCGCAGGCGCCGTGAGGAAGAGATGAGGCGACAGCAGGAAGAAATGATGCGGCGACAACAGGAAGGATTCAAGGGAACCTTCCCTGATGCGAGAGAGCAGGAGATACTGATGGGCCAGATGGCTATGGGAGGTGCTATGGGCATAAACAACAGAGGTGCCATGCCCCCTGCTCCTGTGCCTGCTGGTACCCCAGCTCCTCCAGGACCTGCCACTATGATGCCAGATGGAACCTTGGGATTGACCCCACCAACTACCGAACGCTTTGGCCAAGCTGCTGCAATGGAAGGAATAGGGGCAATTGGTGGAACCCCTCCTGCATTCAACCGTGCAGCTCCTGGAGCTGATTTTGCTCCAAACAAACGTCGCCGATACTAATAAAATTGCAGTGTCTAGATTCCCAAAACCCTTAAGAGAAGGACCCTTTTTGGACTAGCCAGAATTCTACCCTGGAAAAGTGTTAGGGATTTCTCCCAATAGTTAGATCTTCCCTGCCTGTACTACTCTAGGGAGTATACTGGAGACAGAGGTCAAGGGAGGGGTGATATTTAAATCATTTCTGTGTGGTATATCGTTGAATCATGTCTGTGTGGTGCATTCTTGAAGTCTCAGTTATTGAAGGCCAGGGGTGGGGAGCAATGGCAAAGTGGATTCCGTTAGAGCCCCCATGAATCTTGATCATTCCATTCTGTTTATCCTGTTCTATTTGCATTCTCATTCTTAAATTTCCTGACCCCGGAGACACTGCCACATGTACCACAAAAACCACAAACGTCCTCCATTACTTTATTCACTCCCAGGTGGGAATTCAGGCAAATGTCTGCAGAGGTCACAGATAACATAACATACATACGGTTCTGTTATACCCCATATATTATCCCTTCATACCCTAAGGAATACATTTTTCTCTTAGAGATTTTCATTTTAGTGTATCTTTAAAAAAAAAAAAAAGAAAAATCTTGTGTTGCCTCCATCTTTTTCTTGGGTAAGGACAACCCAGGAATGGCCCTTTTGTGTCCGATATTGCTGTTCACAGCTTTTCTTGATAGGCCTAATAACCTTGGAACAGGGTTGCTGTATGATGAATGTCCAGCAGTAGCTCTTAGCATTGCCTATCTTAAGTAGTTATGCTATGCTTTATTTTTTATTGGTGTACCATGTTTGATTTGTTCCTGATCCCTTCGGAGTTTTTTTCTGAAAATGAAGCAGTAATGCAGCATCAACTTATTAAAATACATTTTAATCCTTAAAAAAAAAAAAAAAAAAAAAGAATACCCTTCTCCTTTATTACTTTATCCTAGGTTTCACATGAATAAATCATTTATTTACTGTCTTCCAATACAACTTTCTGAAACCCATTACTCAATGAAGGGGAGTTATAATTTTTAATAATAGGCATTTTAATATTGACTTGACAGTAATTAGTCTAGTTTTTCTGCCCAGTAAACAAAATTGGACGTGTTCAAGCAGGAATTGACCACAAAAACTTTAACGTGAAATGCCAATATTAATAGTAGCCTGTTTCCAATCCTTTTGTTCACTTTTCATGTTGTTTTATTCATGTTTTCAACTATTTATTGTCAAAATTTTAAAACATACATTGGAAGGAATACTATGATGAACCACCACACTACACATTATGACATTTTACCTCAATTTCAACATGAATCTCCTAAAAAACATATTCTTCTGTATAATCACAAAACAGTTCTCATATTAAAAATAATAATAATAATAATAATAATAATAAGCCCTAGCTGATTTGGCTCAATGGATAGATCATTGGCATACTTACTGAAGGGTCCCCAGTTTGATTCTGGTCAAGGGCACATGCCTGGGTTCTGGACTTGATCCCCCATTGGTTGCAATGGCAGTTGTAAAGTGGTAACTTTCAAATTCCATCAATTCTTCCTTCCACATTTATAAGCGATTATCAATTAATCTCTTCTCTGCAGAGAATGGTCTGTGTTACTGGGTTGGAATATACACAAGTCTAATTCTTCTGTTCTGGCTACCCTTTCAATTAAAGCCATGAATTTAGACCCCCTCATTATTCTTGTCTCCCAATTCAATATTCCCATTTCTGTAGTTGTGACTCAGATCTGGTCACTGTCTCTCAAATATGTTCCAATTTGCACCCAGAAAATATAATTTCCCAGTGGGGATGAGAACCAAAATGGCGTTGTAGGCAAATGCCTGTTCTCACTGCCTTCCACAACCACATCGAAATTACAACTAAAATACAGAACAACCATCATCCATAACCATTGGAAAGCTGGCTGAATGGAAGCCTTACAACTAGAAAAATAAAGAGGAAAGCATGCTGAGACTGGTAGGAAGTGCGGAGGCACAAACTGGCTGGTCCAGCACCCACTTAGACCACTTTTTAATCAGGAGGGAGATCACCTTTTCGAGGCTGCCTGGAGGAGCGAGATGCCCAGCCCAGGGTCCCAGAGTTGCAAAAAGAAGAACTTAAGAGCAGTATGAACTACGGGCAATAAGAACTACGGGCTGTAAAAACCGGTGTGGATTGGGACTGAGTGACACAGGCTGCTGGAGAGCCAGCTGCTCCTCTTAAAAGGTCAGCACCACGAACTGAATTTACAAGCTACTGCTTCCTCTGAGCTCCAGTGCCAGGGATCCAGACACATATGAGGAGAAATTGACTGTCTGGCATCAGGGCAGGAACTAGGGGGCAGCTTTCTTCCAGATGGAGGTGCTCACAACAGTCATTGTTCCTGTGCTGGAACCCCCCTGATGCAGGGCTGACTGGCAGACATTTCTGTTTGCTTTTCCCTGGAGATTACCTGAGACTCCCACATGCACTCAAGTTATGTGAGTAACGTTATAACTGTGGTTTTGAACTCTATATCCAATAGTTTGCTTTCTTCCAATTGTGACATGTTTCTTTGTCAAGACATTATAGTCCTTGTAAAGCAGCCCAAGGTCAGCATAGTTTTGCTAAGGTCACTGACATCTTTCTATTGATGCATATTTTCACTGAACTTGCTGAACTAAATTTCCTTCAGCCATACGGTTCAATGTTTTAAGACCAGGTATCAAGAACTTATTGTGTTAAACTCCATCTTAGTTTATCCAATCCAGTTGTCCAGCTCTTTCTATTCAGTTTTTTTATACTAGCTAGGAATCTAAGGGGCTCTATATTTTTTATCCAACCCATTCATAAATTTGGATCAGCAAAGGGCCAAGGACAAAGCTTGCCCGTGATTATGATCATTTGACATTTTTTCATTATGACCACTCACCCTGAGTTCAATCTAACAAACGGTTCTTGCCTCTAGTTAACATTTCTCTACTGAATCCTCAAAGATATCATATGAGAGCTCTTAAGATGAAATACCCTGGATCTATAGCATGCTCCCTAATCACCCTGTTGGTCACACTGCCTAAAAAAGAAATAAGGTTAGTGTGACATCACTTGTTTTTAGTGAAACCATGCCATAGTCTTATGATCCTGGCTTCCTTTCCAAAGGGTTCACAAACTGCTGAATATCAAGCAATCCATTCACCATTGTAACAAGAGATCTTTTTAAAGAGTAAGCATGAAATTCATGCAGGGAGCATTATCTTAAACCTCAGATGAAACAATAAGTTGTATCGTTTGCTTCTTTAAAATTTTCTAAATTTCTATAATGCTCTGATGATGGATGGATGAATATTGCAGAAGCATGAAAAGATAATAAATGGCAATAAGAATATTAATTTCCAAAGAACACCTTTCATTTAGGTTTTTGATGCACTGTTTTACATTTTATGCTTATATATTTGAACACATTTTCATTATTTTTAAAGGTTTGCAGTTTCCTAAAGGAAAACAATGTTGGAGTCAGTCCTATTCCCCAAAACTGCTTTGAAAGTTTAACGCTATTTGTGTGCAAAACTGTGGTGCAACCCATTAAGTAACGTTTCTAGACCATCAGCTTTATATGTCTGATAGGTCTATAAATCTAAACAGAGTGAGGAGGAATGGATTAGAGTGTCCAAACAAAGGAATGGTGATTTCATGGCAAGCAATCCAAAAAATAGGTTCATCTGTGTTAAAAATTTAGCATTGCAAGTTATATTCCGGAATGAAAATTCATACTGTGGAATTGATATCTCCCATTACTTCAAAAATTAAAAATATGAGGGAGGAAAAGTCCCATGACTATTTTTGCATAGCCTTAGAACACTGAAGACGTGTTTTCGGCGATAAAGTTTCCTAGGTCTAAAACAGCACAATCTTTGTCTTTGAATTCATGTAGGAAATCAGTCAGTAGTGCAACATGCAAAATTTCTCTGTGAATTAGTGCTGCTGAAAATCAACAGGGTGAGGTACTTAGTTGACATTGTAAAGACATATAAATATACTTGGACTGATGCACATGAATGTTCTGTTTAGCTGAAGGTGTTAAGACAGTTAAAAAGCTAGCATCCATGCTTAAGGTTTAGGGAATTCATGCATATGTAAAAAGTTGATATGGACTCAAATGCTAGGCATCTAATCCAAGAGAAATAACATGCTTAACATTGTTACAATATGTGAAAGGATCATTTCATTGTTACAAAATATAAAATATTGAAATCAAATAATATCAATTCAAAAGTAATTTTTAAAAACCTATTTAAAAGAGGATAATTTCATTAATTTGTTTTCCTGCAAAGGAAACGAGCACTTTACCTTTCTTGATGGGAATTCCACTAGGAATTGTGGGTCTAAGCATTTCTTGGTAATTTTCAACTGCTGTTGAAATAATAATATCTTTCCCAAAAATTTCCAATAATTGTCACATTAAGCAAGGAGTAAAAGTTATAAGGCTAAATGCTCTCTTTCTTTATCTCCTCATTAAAAACAGGATGGAGCCGAAACCGGTTTGGCTCAATGGATAGAGCGTTGGCTTGGGGACTGAGAGGTCCCGGGTTCGATTCCGGTCAAGGGCAAGTACCTTGGTTGCGGGCATATCCCCGGTAGGGGGTGTGCAAGAGGCAGCTGATCGATGACTCTCATGGATGTTTCTAGCTCTCTATCTCCCTTCCTCTCTGTACAAAAATCAATAAAAATATATTAAAAACAGGATGGAAATTGTCTGCTTCTTTTTCAGTATTTTTTTTTTAATCTAGGTAATTACTGTGGTTTGGGTATTATTGTTTATCATGATTGCATATATTTTAGAAAATTATGGAGTATATATCACACAAATGAAATCAACTTGTTAGTAGTAAATTATACACAATATGTTTTACAGTGGAATATTGATTTCATGACTGTCCTATGAATTCGTTTCTCTGCCCTTCCTTCACCCGATCTAAACAAGCCATGTCAATTATAAATTAAACCTGGGCTCAGGAAATGGCTGACCACACTTCCCACCTATGTG